GCTCTCCTAAAAAAAAAAAAAAAAAAACATGCATATGCTCGAAACTTTATTGAAATGACAATAACAGGGGAGGGTTAAACACTGTGTTGTAACATGTATGGTATCTAAGACGAGCCTTGACTAGTTATTTTTTTAATAAATGCGCACAACAGATAATTTACTTGGAGTTAGTGGTTTCATTTCTTTAACGTGGCTACAAAAAACAAAGAAAGTTGCTGTTTCAGGAACTTAACACTATAGAGCTGGACACAGTCCTTTGCTTCTACCTTTGCCCAAAGCATTTTATGCATCTTGTATCTTGGAAACCCAATATAACTGTCTTAATCGGTGTTACATTTAGATAGGAGGATACCCTGGAAGAATGTAGGTCACATAAACTTAACTTATACTCTCCGTGTTTACAAGGAATTCTAAAAATTCCAAACGCCCTGGGAGAGTTGCCTCTTATCTTTGTTGTTGATTTGATTTCCTCAAAAAATGTAGTAAGCAAAGGTAATCTCTAAATGTTTCGAAATGTTATTTTTAAAAGGTGAATGCTACTAGAAATATGTAGGAGGATGTAGATCTAGAGATCAAGATTACCAGTTTTGGAGTCAAGATGGAACTTGTCTGCATTAGGTCCATGAAGAGTGAATGACACTTGGCCATTTGTTCCAATGTCGGGGTCAGAAGCAGAGATCTTCAGGATGAACAAGCCTGATGGGGAATTCTCCATGATGGCCTCAGTATAAAGTAACTGGGAAAAGGGAAAAAGTTACTAAATAAATATTTTCCAAGTGGAAAGTGGGTTTTACCATGCATTCATTGTTTATTTTATTCCTATGTTTAAAATGCATTTTATAGATTTTATTTTCATTTTAGATTTATTTATTATTTTGCATTTATTTTCTACATGTCCACAGGGACAAAAGTGCCCATAGTTGAAGAAGCACACATATAAATATATCTTCTGGAGAATATCTGACTTACTTGCTCACACAAAGGGCTGTTGTCATTGAGGTCAAGAACATGGACCTCCACATTAGCAGATGTTTGAAACCTTCCATCTGTGGCTATTATCTTAAGAGTATATTTGTCTTTGTCTTCTCTGTCAAGTGGACTTTTGGAAATCACTGTCCACTCCTCCCCTGCTGCTGTGACTGAGAATTGTCCCAATGGGTCTCCATCTTCAGAGATGAAAACACCAACAGTATTTGTTTAAAACCAAAATACATAACTTCACCCACGCAAAAATGTTTATACAACAGTCAGAGTTGAAGTAAAATGTCAAAGCTGAATTGTAAAGTCAGACGCTCTATCAGAACGCAGTTTCATGAATAGTGATTTAAACGTAGTAACAGACAACTGTCATCTCTACAGACAATGACCCATAATTTAACTACACAAGTGACTTTGCATACCTGTTATATAACATACAATCTGTCTATTTTCTGCAGACACATCTTTATCAGCAGTCGTCAGAGTGACAATGGTTTCTCCAGGCCTGCTGTTCTCCAGGATGGACCCTTGGTACAGTTCCTCTGTAAACTGAGGTGGGTTATCATTATCATCTGTGATAGTAACCTCAACTAGTACTGAAGAGGATAGTTTGACAGTGTCCCCATGATCAGTGGCCACAACATACAACCTATAAAGCTGTTTGGTCTCAGAATCAGCCTTCTTTAAGGTAGTAATCCAGCCAGTTTGTGAATCAATGGTAAACATGTCACCAATATCACCTGAGTCCGGCTCAAGCGTATATGAGACTTCTCCATTGACGTTTGTATCTACATCATTTGCTGTCACTTGAATGACTGTGGTGCCAGGGGGCAAATTCTCAGCCAGAAAGGCTTCATAGGGGTCAGCCTCGAACACAGGTTGATTGTCATTAACATCTTGAACCTCTATGTGAACAGATACAAGAGATGCTACATCGGTGCCATTGTGATTTCCTTGAGCGATCACGTCAATCTTGTATACCTTGGTTTTTTCATGGTCAATGTTCTTCTGCATTACAAGAGTACCGCTGTCTTTGTCAACAGCAAAAACATGTTCTTTGTTGCTGTCTATAGTGTTGCCATTCACCAAACTGTATATCAGTGGCATGTCAGTGTCCGCCTTGACTGTGCCTATCTCATATCCGATAGGGAGGTCCTCAGATGCTGAGAACGAGTACAATGGCTCCGTAAACTGGGGTAGAGTGACCTCCGGTGGGACCACCTTGACCTGTACCGGCACAGAGGAGTTGTAAAAAGGAATGCCTCCATCTCGAGCCTTAACTTTGAAGCTGAAAATCTTATTCTCCAAACCAACCAGACTCTCTTTGATGCTGACCACTCCGGTAAAAGGGTTGAGCTCAATAATATCTTCCGTAACCTCTTCCGCTTCTTCTACTGTGTAAGTGACATCAGCATTTTTGCCTTCATCTGCGTCATAAGCCATTATCTGTATAACCGGCAAGCCTTTGTTCACCGTGGATTGAATGGAAACCTGATACTCCGAGGCTTTAAACTGAGGGGCGTTATCATTCTCATCTGTTAGAATAATCTTTACAGTGCAAAACCCCACTCTTCCTCCACCGTCCTTAGCCATGACCTTAATTGCGATCACTCGTTGCGATGGATTTTCTCTGTCCAAAGACTGAGAAGTCACAATTTGTCCGTCTTCATCGATAGAGAACTTCTCATCGGCAAGCTTGTTAATGATGGTGTAATCGACACTGCCGTATGGACCATCGTCTGGGTCAATAGCAGCCAATCGGATCACACGAGTTCCCACTTCTGCATTCTCTGCCAGATCTGCCTCGTAAATGTTCTGGCTAAAATAGGGGCTGTACTTGTTGCCGTTTGTCATGTCAATGTTAACAGGGGCAGTCTTCTGAAACACACCATCGGAAACTGCAACGGTGAGGTTATAAAATGGATCCAGGTTTCTCTTGCACACATTCGAGAATGAGATAAGTCCAGATGATTCATTAATAGAGAAATATCTCCCTTCATTGCCTGACAGGATCTTATATTGGAGGTCATCCTTACTATCGGGGTCTGAAGCCTGAACTTTGATAATGATGTGGCCACAAGTGGCCTTTTCATCAAGAGAGGCCCGATAAGACGGCTCGTTAAAATCTGGAGGGTTATCATTGACATCTATGACGTTCACGATGATTTGAGCCTCACCGCTGAGAGGTGGTGCACCTTTATCTGTGGCTTTAACTTTCAGAGTGAACTGTTGTGTGGTTTCATAGTCCAATACTTGCGATGTCGCCAAAATCCCACTTAGTGGGTCGATTTCAAAAAACTCATTTTCTTTGTCAACCAACTGGTAAGTTATATCTGAATTCCTGCCTGAATCTTTGTCAAAAGCTGAGACTTGTAAAACAGATGTGCCTATTGGAAGGCCTTCAGACATATCTGTAACATAAGACAGACTCTGAAAGACAGGGGCATTGTCGTTTATATCTTCCACATCAATCTCTACTTTGGCTTCGGCAAAGGTACCAGTCACCGAATCCGTGGCACGAACAGTCAAAATATGCTTTGTTTGAGTCTCAAAGTCTAGGAAATCAGTGACACTTAAGACCCCTGTTTTGAAATCGATGTTAAAAAACCTGGAGGCGTTGTCTTCCTCTAGATTGTAGATGAGGCGGTATCCGTCAGGATTTCTTGCTTGCACATGCAGGATTGTTGTAAATGGCTTAATATTCTCAGGTAATTTCAATGGGTAGTACAGGCTTTGAAATATCGGATGAGAACGATTTTGCACTTGGACGTACAGCGTCCCGGCTGCTGACAGGCTCGTCTCACCCTCATCTGATGCCAGTACAGTGAGAACATATTTATTCACAGACTCAAAGTCTAAAGGTCTTAGTAGTGACACATCTCCAAGATAATGGTCGATTCTGAAGAGACCGAAATCGTCCTCCAGTGAAAATAGTATAGATCCATTCTCACCGGAGTCATTGTCAGTCGCTAGCACTTGAAAGAGAACATCTCCTGGTTCAGTTTCATCCGATATCATCAGCGAATGAGGCAAATTGGATATTTCTGGGGCATTGTCATTGATATCATCTATAAAGACCTTAACATGAGTGATATCCACACGTGGTGGATGCCTCATGTCTCGGACCTCCACAGCGACATCATACTTATCCCGTTCCTCCCGGTCAAACGGAACGCCGGTGGTCTGCAGGACTCCAGACGATGGAACCACTGCAAACTTCCCATGTGGGTTCAAGACGGTGTACTGCAAGGGCTCGTTCAGGTAGCTACCTGTTGCTTTCAGAACAGCTAAAATTTTAATAGACGTACTGTTCTCCAGTACAGTGGCCACATGCATCCTGTCCTCGAACTTCAGACTACTCTTTGTTGCATTGGTGATATTGAATTTCACTATGGTAGTGTCTTTATATAACCCATCTGAGGTTGTGATCTTTAACTCATTATGGGACTGCAGTTCAGACGAATCATTCACTGAGATGATTCCAGTGGACTGGTCTATTTTAAAAGCATTTTTATTAGTACTCTCTGAAATAATGTAGGCCACTGCTGAATCTGCATCATGAGCTGTCACTTGGATTACATTCATGTCTTCAAAAACCGGTAAGGTGAGGGCAGTTTCATATACAGGTAAAGCAAATTTGGGAGGACAATCATTAATGTCCAGGACACGAATGTTTACTCTGCATGGCTTGGATGCACTTAGCGGTGGCTCACCAGAATCCCACACCTGAACGCTGAAGAAAAATTCAGGTGTTGCCTCAAAGTCAACCGTAGACTTTAAGGAGATGGTACCCATGCTTGGATCTATTTTAAACACCTTCTGAGCTGCAGGTTCAAGGATTTGGAAGATCAGAAGAGCATTTGTGTCCTTGTCTGCATCTGACGCCTTAATCACTAAGGGGGTGTTGTTCTCCCCAGTTACCATGCTGTTGACGGGTGCAGACTCACTAATTTGCCCATAATAAGTGTCCTGATGGAAAACAGGGGCATTGTCATTTTCATCTATCACATAAATGTAAACCACTGCATCAGATGAGACTCCCGCTGTATTTGTAGCTCTTACTGTCAGACAGTAGGAGGAGTGTTGCTCAAAATCGAGTGCGTTTCGGACAGACAAGAGTCCAGAGTTTATGTTGATGTGGAACGTCCCATTGGGGTCGCCATCATTGATCCTGTACAGCACTAAAGACGGGCAGCTGGCGGAGACAGACAGTGCAGAGGAGCCAGGAGGCACAGCCTCACTTATCTCAGTGATGTATTCTTCGGAGGAGAACCTGGGTGGTGTGAATTCAGACAGCTTTACAGTGATGGTAACGGGGCAAAGGGCACTGCGCTGGGGAAAGCCCTGATCTGTGGCTTTTACTGTGAGGTGATATTGCTCCTGCGGAAGTTTGTCTAATGCATCAGACACACGAATGCTTCCTGTATCCTGGTCGATTTCAAAGGCACCATCCACATTCCCACCTGGATGAAAAAGAGATTAAGAGAATTTTGTGTTAAATGTCAAAAACAGATTAAATGTCATTATAATTTTTTAATGGCCACCCAAGAGTATTTATAAATGCCACACTAAAATTAAGCATTAAGGCAAGACTTCATTCATTTATATTTGTGCTTTCAATGAATGCTAAAGAAAAATTGCTAAAAAGCAAAGGTAACAGTGCTCCAGGCAAATGTCTTACCAGAGTGAAAGGAATAAACAATCTCCGCATTGCTCCCTGTGTCCTTATCCAGGGCTTTGACTCTTAGCACTTCAGTGTCAGTGAGTGCAAGATTACTCATGGTGCCCTCATAATGAGTAATCAGAAACGATGGGTTGTGGTCATTACAGTCTTCTACATGCACAACAACCTTCGCAAAGTTCTTTTTTATTGGGATCTTCTCATCTCGTACCTGGAATGATAAAGTACATGGGTCAGTGTATGTGTGGTGCAAGAGCCAGGAAGATAACCTTTGACCACTGATGTTATTTTTTTTTTCCTTTTTAGGTGCTTAATTGAGGTCAGGAATTTTTCAGGAATGTAAATTTATGGTCTTCCCTGTGCTCTGACCCCATCTATATCAATATGTGAGGGACCCGAGATAGTTAACTGAATTCTAGTATGATTTAACTGGAAAAATAACCAAATGTTTTCATGTCCATTTAATCAAAGCTTGTCCGTAATTGTATTTACTATTTACATAAGACTTTGAGATGAGAGTCTAGTTGAGTCAAGTCAAGTGTCTCTTTACCATCACAATCAGAGTATGAGTGGAGATGGTCTCGTAGTCTAGCTCCTCTTTCATGACAAGCACGCCGCTCCTTTGGTCCAGGTGAAAGTACTTGAGGCTGTCTGGGTTAAGACTGCTGTGGATGGAGTAATATAGTCCACTGTTGGCATCTGCATCGTGGGCACTGATGTGAAGGATCTCCTTCCATGGAGATGTGTCCTCTGGCACTCTCACCTCATAGAGGCTCTTCAAGAACATGGGCCGATGCTCATTTATATCCACTACTTGAATGTAGGCCTAAGAAAAGAAAGACAAACCACTACTCTCTCAGCTGTCCATTGGCTTAAAGTGAGACATATTAAAATGCTGCCCTGATGACAATGGTAAATCTTTCATCTCGCATTCTATTTGCAGAGGTGCAAGCTATGAATTTATTGACTCGGCACTCAACGTGTGATGGATTTGGCATGTGTGCTCATACCTGAGTGGTTATGGCCTGAAATCCATCTGTGACTCTGACTGTTAAGTTGTAATGAGATTTTCTGCCGGCATCCAGACGTCTAGCTTTCACAATGCTCCCTGTGTTCTTCTCAATGTAGAAGTCCTGCTTTTCATCACCACCTGAGATACAACATTACCTATTTGTTAGATCAGTGGTTCTCAACCTATTGGTCAGAGGTTTTTTCTGAACTAACCACATAAATGTAACCACAAAAAAGGCTGGTCAACTTTAAAAGGAAGGAAAAAACACTTCCTACATATTTCATTCATCAAATGGCGTGCATCCAATCAAACTTTATGGTGTATATTCATTTGTCGCTTCTCTAGCTGGTCAATTAACCATTGTTTACATGTTTTAAACTAATATTCCAGTAATAATATTTAATTGTATGCATTTCGATATTACATAATTACAATAATCCATAAAAACAATAACTTATTACAATGTTTGTATACAGACTAGTGCTTTTGATTATAAATTTATGTAACCCCATAGCTTCATTTAGGTTTATATACATGCTTTGAGCCATTGTGAGAATTACTGACAGCTAAGATTAATATTAATTCATATTCTAATTCAATATTATATTAATATTTGGAAGATTAATGCATTATAATGTTTGATTTTAAGAGAACTGTTGTTTATGTTTTTGTACAATTTTGGTTGTGTTTTGGGTCAACACTCAATGTCCAAAGTAAAATCTGCCACGTTAGAAAACCACTGGGCTAGAATAACATGTTTCACACATCTGATGGTTTACCATCAATACCTCTCAGTGAACCTTTGTGGGTGAACCCGTATGCATTACTTTAGGGCTGAGTAACATGAAGTGTTGTGACAGTAAGATTAAGGTGAACTATAATAAATGTACAATCCTCTAAATCTTGCATGAGCAAAATAAGTACATGAGTAGCAACAAAAAAAAAAAGCCTTGATGAAAAGCACCAGCATACCGTAGATTTCACATTTCAGAATATGGGAACCAATCACACAATTTCTCTCTAACACCCACATGAGACTTTGTTGTTATGCCCTTCTTGGTACAATAATGACAGAAAGCAAGGGCACTCCTGTGACACTGTTCAGACCAGCACTATTGTTTAAGGGAAAACATTTGGCACATATATAAAAAGACCAGACGTCTTACTCAGTGGGGGTAAATTCATTATTGCTTTAACAGATGGTGTTTATTAAAAAATTCCACCTATTGAAGGCCTTCTGGTCCTGATTTATGTTTATTTCCAAACTTTACCAAGCAGTCCTCAACTGGCTTTATCACTTTGCTGAAGATCAACCATATCTAATACTGGCCTTGGTTGGAGGCTTGAGATATATTCTGAAGAAAATCTTTAATTAATACATAATTGGCTTCTCGAGGGTTGAAAAAGCTGCTACAGTGAAACAAAGCCTTCAAACTAAATGATGAAATGTCAGGGTTATGTTTAAAGTTAAGCACACTAGAGATGATTTTATGCAATCATGCAACTTCTAACCAACACTGCACTAAGATTCAGACCTTATATTCTCTATAATCTTATATTCTCATCAAATATGAATATTCTTCCTGCTATGTAAATTACTGCTTTTTATATAAATTATCCTTTGAAGTCCATCATAAAACCATTATATAATATATATATATGTTTCAATGAACAAATCAACTATGCACTGTTAATTCAGACATGCAAAGTAATAATCCATAACTTATTACAGTATCTTCATTTTTTGTCATTTATTTTCTTCCAAATTAAACAGGTGTAGGGTCTACAGACCTGTACTTTTAATTATACATTTATTTAATCACATCACTTCTAACTATCTAGCTTCGTTTAAAAAATTAAAAGAAGAACATAATCAAATTAAAAATCATAATTTAAAGCAAAAGGTGAATGACATTAAATCATATATATGATAATTCAGAGCAACGTGCAAGTTATCTGAAATGTATGACAATGGTTCCCATATCAAAGAGTATTTTTAATCAAATTAACTTCTGGTTAAAATATAATGTGTTGGTATCTAAGAGTAAGATAAAAATGTAAAAAAATGCGGACCTCGCTGTCATCATATCAGAACCATGCTGAGGTAAAACAAGATCTGTAGCCAACAGGTGAACCTTCTTCCATGTGATTCATTTTCCCTTCCTACTACAAATGCTTGTGATTTATTTCCACTGAAGCTCATTTCTCTCGGAGTGAGTCTGCAGGGCTGAAGGTAAGAATGCGGGAGCAGAGTGAAGGTCAGGTTCAGCCCTTAACTGCAGGCGAATATGTGCTGCTTGCACGGCCACAGAGAGACTGATGGCAGAGCTGTGAGGAAGGCAGCTCCTCTGGTGTTCTGGCTTGTCATCTGAAGAAATGTGTCACTGCTAAGATCAGCCTCCTGGCACAGATCTCATCACAGACAGAGACGCTATAGCATCACAGTGACACCAGACCCCCTACATGCAGTACTGTACCATGATGACAGTCAACATTACACACCTTCCTTACTGTTTGACTCTTATACAGTTACGTTTTTCTTTCTTTTTGCAAAGCTTTTTTTTAAACCATGAATTAATTAAGAGTTTCATGAGGCAAAAAAGATTATTTTTCCACTCTTTGTTTTAAGAATAAACCTCACTAAATGTTGATAGATTTATGCTTAAAACTATGACAAAACTATTTGAGAGTGGGGTCAGAAAAATCTTGTTTATGTTTATTTATTGTAAAGAGCAATGGTAAATGATAGAGAGGTGCTTACCGATAATGTCAAACAAGAGCAGGTTCTTTGGGATCTCTGTTCGGATGATTCCCACCATGTCAGTGACAGGATCTGTCTCCATCACCACATAGTTGAAGGGGGGCTCATCAAAAGCCAGCACATCGGAGCTGGGCTCAGGTTGGGGCAGCCATTCAACATGCAGACGGGCCTTAGACATTCTTGGAGGGTGGCCATGGTCTGTTGCTTGAATCTATGATAGTGAAGGAGAAAACTACCTGTTTTTGATTTGAATCTATTTTAAAATGTAATTTATTCCTATGATGGTAAAGCTGAATTTTCAGCATCATCATTCTAATGTGCTGATTTGCTGCTCAAGAATCATTTCTTACTATTAGCAATGTTGAAAACAGTTGTTCTGCTTAAAATGTTTGTGGAAACCATTATACAGAATAATTTCTGAAAGATTATGTGACACTGAAGACAGGAGTAATGATGCTGAAAATTCAGTTTTGTCATCACAGAAATAAACTATGTTTTAAAATATATTTAAATAGAAATTCGTTCCTTTAAAGGGGTGGTTGATTGCGATTTCACTTTTTTAACGTTAGTTAGTGTGTAATGTTGCTGTTTGAGCATAAACAATATCTGCAAAGTTACAAAGCTGAAAGTTCAATGTAAACGGAGATATCGTCTTTTAAAATTCTGGCAGTTTAATGCCTACAAAAACGACTGGTA